CAGCTGACCTGATTTTTCTTTTTAAGAAAAAGGCATTTTGTGAAATCCTACAGTGGAAATACATGTTTGATCAGCCAGCTGTGTTTTTATCGTTAGTGCAAATTAGAAATGAAAAGGAAATCCCTGCAGAAGCTGTTACCACATGGATAGAAATAAAAGATAACATCTTTGATGAGATTTTATACTGAGTCTTATAAGATCATTTTAACATATTAAGGGTTTATGACTTTTCTTCCTTGAGTCCATTTTATGCTCTGCTTTGATAAGTTAAAGTCCCACTATCTTTCTGTCTTCTATCTCTTTTTTAACTGCATGTTTGCATCAGTGATTAACTGCTCCGTTTATTCACTTTAGCTGATTGCTCCTCTTTATTTTCTCCACACTGTCTCCACTGATGTGTGTGAGAGTGTTCTGCATGCCAGGCGCTGCTTGAATCTACCTGGCAGAGGTGGCTTTCAGAGCAACCAGTAGAGAAATGGTTCTGTTCTCATGATCTGGTCCCAAACCACTCCAGCTCCACTCACAGGCCTGTGGGTTCAGAGCTAACCCACATTTGCTGGGATCCTCCGAGGGAAGACCAGATGTGATAACCCAGTTTAAAGCTGGAAGCTGCGGTTTGTAGTTGTGAGCTCGTGGCTGTAATCCAGTCTACATCCAAGGAGACAGATGTGCAGCTAGTAAAGGCCAGTGATAGGTGAGGTCACCATGGCAACATGACATCTGACCCCCTGGCCTAATAAACGAACTGATTTGAGATTAGACTGAAAGCTACCAGCTGACCTCAGACTTTAGAGTCGTCTCTTAATCTGTGGATAAATTCCTCAGATTCCAGATTATCAGCAGAGGAGGGCAAACAGGGACCAAACCAGACAGCAGGGAGGAGATCCAGAGCTTCCAGGCTCTGACATCAGCAGAGCCTCCCGTGACTCACACATCACGGTCTGAGGGTGACGCCAATCGCATCCAAACACTCTGAGTTATGCTGCCATCCAGTAAAGTGCATCTCCATGGTAACACCACCATTTGCATGTCACGTTGGTTGTCATAGGAACCAGAGAGAAGTGGGACTGGTTCTGCTGTGACTCGGTGGTCCCTGTGTTTTCTGGTAGTTTTTTTTCAACTCACTATCAGAAAGTCTGATGTCTGAACCTGTTTGGGGACGTTAGACAGTCCCACCAACTTACAGTGAAAACAATCAGACTTTGCAGACTTTTGAATTAGATGGTT